GGGGGATGCAGGGGCATGGGGGTACAGGTTGGCGCTGGCCCTGCCTGCTGCGGGCAGCAGGGGGTTAAACCGTGCATACGCTTGCCAGGGTGCCAGGCATGTCCTTTGTACCTCCTTGTGTCCACCCCAGCATGGCACTGTGACACCCCCCCCCCCCATAACCCGCACCCGCGGGCCCCTGCAGTGCCTGGCTGGAGGGGATCTGCTGGGATCTGCTGTACAGCATTTCACACAAAGGGATCTGCTGGGATCCCTGTGTCCTTAGAGAGTGAGCATGGAGGCGGGGGGTGTCCCTGAGTCCTTACAGCATCCACAATGGGGGGACCCCTGTGCCCAGCATGAGGGGACCCCTGTGCCCATAAAGCACCTGGCACGAGAGATCCCTGTGCCCACAAAGTGCCTAGTGTGGGGGACCCCTGTGCCTGTAAGCACCCGGTGCTGGGGAGTTCTGTGCCCATAAAGCGCTCAGTCTGGGGGGGGGATCCCTGTGCCTAAAAAAGTGCCCAGCAAGAGGGACCCCTTTGCCCGTAGGCACCTGACATGGGGCATCTTTGTTCCCATCAGCACCCGGTGTGTCTGTGTGATCCCTGTGCCAAAGGACAGCCCCGCATGGGGCATCCCTGTGCCCATGCAGCGCCCGGTGTGGGGACCCATCCTGCTCTGCTGCCCGTGCTGGGGAAACTGAGGCAGGGAAGGGAGAGGCTGGTGGAGGGCACGGGGCTCCCACTGCACCACCCTCACTTGGTTCCTTAACCTTTGGGAAGCTGCCCCATGCCTGGCGGGATGGCATGGGTCACTCCAGCTGCACCGTGCCAGCAGAGCGGGTGCCAAAGCCACCACCGGGCAGAGCCTGGGGGAGTGTCACTGCAGGGTGGTGACAGGCCGGTATGTGCCAGGACAGGGACCCAGCCTGGAGGAGGGAGAGGCCCCTGGCTGCTTGGGGACCCCAGCGCATGCCAGGGACACAGGACTGTGAGCTGCCGGGGGCACGGGGGGTGCTCAGGGCTGTGGGTGGGTGGATGGCACTGGTGAGGTGTGGGGCAGTGGTTGTGCAGTCCCATGTCCATCTCTGTGTCCTTATGTCCCTGATGTGGGTGTGAGAACAGGGACTCATGGAGGTGTGTAACACACATGCTTGTGCATGTGTGTGTTCACGAGCCGGCACATTGGGCTGGGGTGAGAGTGAACTGCAGCCTGCGCAAGTGTGAGTGCACAGCGGGTCTCATGAACTGCTATGGGGTGTGCATCCCTGTGTGGGTGCGTGTGTGTGCTCCCTAGCACATGCGTGTGTGCTGGCTGCAGTAGCAGTGGGGCTTTACACTGGTGTAAGCTGTTAGAGGGGTATCCCCCAGCCTTTCTTGTGCCCAGATGGGC